ATTTTTTATTTTTTGTAAAAAAAATGATATTTTTAAATTATTTTTTTATTATATTATAATTATAATTAGGTTATTTTTCTATCTCATATTATAATAAATAATCACACATAAAAAAATATTAATTTTTTTTAATATAATTAAATTGAAAATGGGTATTAAATTAAAAATGTGAAACGGGTACGGGTACGGGGCGGGTAAGTACATACTCGTACCCGTACCCGTACCCGTACCCGTACCCGTACCCGTACCCGTACCCGATTTAATATATGAGGTTTTACCCGTACCTGGTCAAATCGGGTATTTCCCGTCAAAGTCGGGACGAGTTCGGGAATTACCTGCGGGTACGAGTATATTTGTCATCCCTAGTAGTATTTAAAGGATATTTGGTGGGTTAATCCCATTGGAGGCTTAGTGTTGCATGCTAATGTCGTGGTAGGTCCATACCCAAGTTGTTCTACCTTGATAGGAGTACTAGACTTCCTAATTTTAGTGGCGAAACTTGAGAAATCAAATTTAAGTTGTAAACATGACACTCTTTAAGGCTAAATATTGTCTATACTTGACCTAGTTGCAATAGGTCAAATGTTGTGGTTCGATAATGTCTAGTCACTTAAACGACTCACATCTATTGTAATAGATCCCCGTAGGGGGGTGTATTGGTTTATGATTTCGTAGGATTTTAAAATTGGCTACTGCACAAATTTCCTTTGAAAACACTAATTCTCATTCAATTTCTACTTATTTATACTAATTGTATGTACTGCATATAGTTACTGACTTTCAAGATGGTCACATTTGCACAATCATCTCAAGACTACCAAGCTCAAATTGTAAATAAGATAAAAATATTGTCTTCTATTTAATTTGGATGAACCTTGTAGTCCCAGACCAACCCTGCATCACAGGTTCACAATTAGAGACAACATTCAATAAACAAGTGTAAGAAGGAAACGAAAATAATACATATATATATATATATATATAACTTAAAGGGAAAGCTAGAGAAATAACCCCATAAAAATTTATGTAGGCTAAATCTCAAATTCCAAATGGAATTAAAATAATACATTCTAGTTAGCTTGGATGAATCTAGTAATTTCAGACCAACCCTACATCACAATTAGAGGGAAAAATCAATAAACAAGCGTAGAGAGCTTTTAGAATTGCACATTAGTGCAAAATTAATCATTTTAACAAGTTGTCTCATTTAATCTATACATGTTTCTTATCAAAATACAGATAAATTCTTATATATATATATATATATATATATATATATAAAAGATCTAACACAAAAAGTGAGAAAAAAATAAAATCAAATATCATTTGAAGTTGATGAATTTGATCCATGATTTTTCGCAAATTGGAGAGCACAACACAAATATCACTTAATTAAATTTTTCTTTAATTCGTTACAATTCTAATCGAATCAGCAAAAAAAAAATAATTTTAGCCATTTTAAATTTTTAAATAGTTAAATAGATAGAAGGTGAATGAGATGAGTAAGGAACCTGTTAGCAAAAATGACACTCAACATTAAACAAACATTGTGAAGGTAAATGTTAAACATTGAGTTATAATTAAGGGTGTACAAAAATCCGAACCGATTTAAACTTAACTATATTTTAAAAAAACCAAACCAATCCACTTTATAAAAAATGAAACAATTAACCAATTCACTTTTATAAAATAGATCGATTTAGTTCTATTTAAAATTTTCAAAAATCCATCCCATGAACACCCTTAACTATAATTTTTACCAAGAAAATATTAGTGCATATAACTCCAAGGAAAACTTGGCATTATCTATCCAAAATAAATCAGAACAAGCATCTTATGTTACACGAAGAACTCAAATATAACCAACAATCATAAGAACAAACACATATGACAAAAAAATAAATAATTGTTCAACCTCCAAAGCCGTAGAGGGTTCTTTGCTACCTCTTAAGCGCATAAACAACATCCATATATAGTTGCCACGTCTTCTTAGAGTCGAGTATATAACAAAGGTGGTTTAGGCACTTATTCAATATTTGAAATTATACATGCGTAAATTTTGTTTCTATGATGTAGGTATAGGGCAATGACAAATGTATAATATAGATGTGCATTAGAGGTCATGTCGGTGTACAACATTAGTAAAAGATAATCTTTTGATCATGTAGCTAGGTCAATTGAAGGATTGTGAGCACACACAAACAACTCCATTATGATAATATAACTAAAGATTTGGAACAAAGGTGACTCAATTGATAAGTGCTAGCACATGAACATACACATGGGTGAAGGCACACCTTTATTTGATTCGATTGATTGAGTGAATAATTAATATGTGTGACAACGCATTAATGGTTTAAGTTATTTATGTTGTGATAAAAGTTGTTTATGTTGAGACTACTATACATGTTGTAAATTATACTAGTTGTTGAAAGTTGTGATTCAAGTTACTTAGTTTTTTTTAGTTGATGAATGGGCCTCCATTTGAGAAAGGGGTTCCATTAAGGAGTTAAGCTTCGTGCATAGTCAAGCCTATTCTTGGCTAGAGTTGAATATATTTGTTGAGTTTGATCCACCCCGCTGTCGACTTCGTTAAGAATCATATTGAGGCACAAAAATCTTTATTGTCTAACCTCCTTAATGGGGATTCACTCAAGTGGCAAATCTGCCTCTCCACTTAATTGAGCTTCGTGACCTTATTGGATAGCTCGTCCTCGAAGCCTGGGGGAGGTTGATATTAAAATGCACTAGGCAATGCAAAGAACAATCCCCACTTCCACCTGCTAGAGCCATCATATGGAATTTTGCAACAGTCGCAATGGAAAGCAAAGTTAAGGGCATGAAAATGAAACCTTCCCACCCCATTAGTTGGCTCAAAAGTGAGGTTAGGACTTTATGTATGACAACTATATTTTATGAAAAAGGGTTTCGCTAAAAAAATCCCAAACTAAAAAAGTACATAAAATTATTAGGGAAGGACAAAGAAAATGTAAGAATAAGTAATGTTATCCACAAGTGCGAGAGTTTAAATGTCATGCTTAAATGTGATAAATAATTTATAAATTTATAATTTTTTTATAATTATGATATTTTTTTATTTATTTTAGTGCTTATAATAATCTATTACAAATATTTAATACAATGATAATTCTGAAAAATAGAATATCATATGAATTATAGAAGTTAGGGTATCATAGTAGGTATATATTATGATTAAATTACTCAAATAAATCATAAATGAATTTTGATTTCATATAACGTATTCATCATTCTATTAAAGTTTTGCACTGTTATATATATATATATATAT